CACAAATATTAAGCTGCCTTTTGTGTGGCAGGTGCTGTGCTAGATGCCCATAATACAGTAGTTAACCCAACAGAAATGAGCCACTTTCAGTCCAGCAAGAAAGGACACTAACAGATAATGATAACATGTGATCAGAACAATGATGGAAACACACAGGATGGAGAGAACAGGGTAGGGGTGGAGGCCCGTATTCACAGGGTACCAGGGAAAGCTTCTCTGTGGAGGTCACATTTAAGCCAAGATCAAAAGATGAATAACTCCCAGTGTGTTTGTGAGAATTAAATAAAATAATGTCCATAAAGCACCAACCACAGTGCCTGGCATATAGGCAGAGCTCAAAAAATACCAACTTTATCATCAGCCACTAAAACATAAGCTCCTTCATAGTAAGAAGCAGATCTGTGCTGTTTGCCAGAATTGTGCCTGGCACATACAGAGTTGACTAAATTAATGAATTTCATGTCTTCTTATGCTATCATGTTGCCGGTAAAGTATCCCTCATTCATTTCTGAAGGACAGTTTTATCAGGTATCATACCTATAGTCAACAAAAATATAGTGTATACTTAAATCTGTTAAGAGGATAGATCTCATGGTAAATGTTCTTATCATAATAAAAGAGCTTATTAAATTCATTTACAATAGTAATGGTAATAGTAGTAGTAATGAGAGTAATATTGGTTAATAGTATTAGTCATAGGAGTAAGAATAGTAGCAGAAGTAGTAATAGGAGTAGGAATATCAGCAACTCCTGACACTGCTGACCCTCTCAGCAGGGGTGCTATGTTGCAATGGAAAGAACATGAAATATCAGGCAGAGCCACACTTGACACCTGGCCCAGCTACATGGTTTCTGTAAAGGAACTGAACTCAGTTCTGCAAACCTCAGTTTCCTCATCCATACAGCTGTGTAACAATGTATCTCACAGAGCTGCTGTAGGAATCAGGAGTCATCTGTATGGTGACTCAGGCAGTGTAGGTCCACGACACATAATGGTTCTCAAGATGGCAACATCCATCCCAGATAACTGAGCTCCAGGCATCTGACACTCAACTACCTTCTCTGGGGAGAGACTGGGAAGCCACATGGGTATATGTGGGTCGGGTTTGCAGCTTCCAACAGCTAATGCTCATCAGGCAGCCACTGCCTATCTGGGTTGGGGTAGCTCAGTTCACTTATCACACTCAGACTCCTGTGGTCCAGGAAATAGACCTCCTGGAAAATTACTGGATTGAACTAAATGAGGTAAAAGTTTTTGACTGAAATCCCAGTGGGCAAGAAATGGTTCTGACATATTTAACTTGAAAAAAATTCACATCAATCAATAAGAAAAAGTGAAACAGCTCAGTTGTGAAATGGGCAGTCTATAAAAGGCAACTCATACACAAGAAAGAGTAAGGAGCAGCTAACAGGAAAACCCAGCAACCATCATGAGACCAGAATTTAAAGCAATGAGAAACCCTTTCAGATTCAAAGTATCCAGGGTGAGGCAGAGTGTGGAGAAATAGGTACGTACATATACTGTCTCTGGAAATTAAAAATGGTAGCTTTAGGAAGGGCAATTTGACAGCATCTATTAAAATTTGAAATGAGGATATTATTTTTGCCACAGCTGAGTATCCTAGAGAAATACTTTAATGCAGGGCCAACGAGGCATAAATAGGTATAGTCACTGAAAGCATCATTTATAATAGAGAAAATATGGAAACAACCTAAATGTCTATAGTTACAGGAAAGACTAAATTAAAATAACATAATCTATTATGGAATACTATGGAGCAGATAAAAAGAATGAGCTAGATCTAGATGAATGATCATAAACAGAAGATGTCTGAGACATCATATTAAGTGAAATAAGAATATTGTAAAACAATATGCACAGTATGATCCCATTTGTATTGGAGCAAACAAAATAAAACAAGTATTTCTACAAGAATGTGTGAATGTATATGCATGCATGTGCTCATATACATGTGCATGTGTGTGTGCAAATACATAGAGAATGATTGAAAGAAAACATGTTTATTGATAATAATTGTTACATCTGGAGAGAAAAAGGAATGGATTGAGAGGGATTTCAAGTGGAACTTTATTATTAGTCATGTAAGAGAAGAGACAGTATATAAAATAAATAACAGGATTTTTATTCAAATTATATTAAGATTTCCTCTGAGCTGATAAAAAGACAAAGCCCTCTAGAAAAAAAAATGATGGAAAACATGAACAAGAATTTCACAGGAGAAAATTCGAACAACAAATAAACATATAAAAGATGCTCAACTTCATTTGTAATCATAAAAATGCAAATTAAAATCACAGTGAGATATCAATTCCCACCAGATGGACCAAAATTTTAAAGGAAAACATTAGCAAAGGCTAGCAAGAATGTATAACAGGAGTTCTCATACACTGTTGGTGGGGTATAAATTGGTACAACCACTTTTGAAAACAAGCTGTATTTATCTCTCAAGTTTTATATAAGAAAATCCCATGAGCCAGCAGTCATACTCCCAAGCACATCCCTAGATAAATCCTTGAACAAGTGTTCTGGGAGAAATAAATAAGAATGTTCATAGTCCCCCAAAGTCTAGAAACCCACCCCCAACAGAATGGATAAATAATCTAGCCAGTTCGTACAATACTACACCAGACAGCAGTAAAATTAACAGAACATTATCACAAAATTCAGGATGGTGCTAATTTTGGAAAAGGAAGAAAATTGTAATTGGGGAGGAGAACCTAGGAGGTTCTGAAGAACCTGGGTGTTTATTATTTTTTTAAGTTCTGTGCATGCGCTCTATACACTAGTTTAATTTGTGTGATTAAAAATAAGAAAAAATGATGAAGGAAGAAAAAGAAGAGAGAATCCTCAGTCCAGTGGTACCATATGCTTCTCTGCACCCAGGAGAGGTCATGGGGTTTTCCGACTCACCTAAGGATCCTACAGAGAGGCCCTCAGGTCAGCCAACTATTCCGGGAGTCAGTGTGATGATGGTGGCAGGAGCGAGCAGAGGACAGGCCTCCAGGGAGCCTCCTCTGGTCTCCTCCTCTAAGACCTCGGCTGTTGTGGTTTCACAGTGAAGAAGGAAGCCCATTCTCTTCACCACAAGGCTCTAGAAAGGCCTTCACACATATGTGATCCAACCTCTTTGCCTCATAGAGACCTGAGAGAATGTGTCAATACAGCTGGCTAGTCTAGACCAATGGTTCTCAACCTTCCTGCCCCACCATGACCCACACAGCAAATGACATCCACATGAGCATCTTGATATGGACACATATAGTCTATGGTCAGAGCAGCACATACAAGACAGACTGTGGGTTATGTGCAACCCCTACAGGAAAGATTAAAGGTCAGCAATGGGACAAGAACCCACTCCTGACAGAAGTCAGTCTTGTTCACAGAACAAGCTCCTGACACACAGAGTTGAGGCTCAATAAATACTCACTGAGTTAATTTTTATGCCATCTAACTTATTTCAACAAACTCTCTCTGCCTTTAAACTGAAGAAGGAGAAAAATAAATGCTTAAATCCACAGTATGTGTGGAAAGTATTCCAGAGTTCCAGAAAGTGCTGTTGCTGAGGATGAAATAGGGAAGCAGCTGGCAGGCAGCCACAGCCCATCTGGAAGCTGCTCACCTTTAGAAAGTCACTCCTTTGTGACATCTTTACTCTTACGCAGCTGCCCAGACCTCCTCTCTCTACTGCCTGGCTTCCTCAGTGTCCAAAATGGCTGCTCCAACCCTGAATCTATGTGACATTCAAGTTCAACCGCCACCACCAACTGGGAATTTTTCTGACTCTCAGCTCAAATTCCACAAGCGAAGCTAATTGTCCAAACCCATCCAAGCCACACAAGTGATAGGTGGTGGGCCAGACTATACATTGGCTGTCCCTGGGTCACATGGCCACTTTTAGTCCAATCATTCATGGCAGGGAAGAGAAGAGGCGGGGTCATCTACTACAGATGATGATAGTTTACGGTGACAGGGGCTGTGCAGAGCAAAGTTGCCTGCAGAAAAGGATTGAATGGCAGGTGATAATTAACATCTCCACTCCTTTAAACTAGGATCCCTGAAGAATGAAATGTTCTGTCTCAGGGAACCTGCCTTCTAGGATCTGAGCAAGAGGGTTGGAAATGTGGTTGGCATGAGTGTCATTTAGAACACAAATCTCAAGCTAGAAGAAGGAAGGGGACAAGAACTGAGAGTAAGGCTATAGAACCAAGGCAGACAGCAGTCAATCCCCGGCTCTGCCACTTACTGTGTGTCCTTGAGCAAGTAACTAATATCTCTGAGCTTAATTTCCTCAATGTAATCAATCACAGAACCTACCTCATAGAATTGTGAGGATTAAATGTGATGGGAGATGATGTAGCGTTAACAAAGTACCCAGAACAAAGTAAATACTTAATAAACGTCAGTTTGTTCTTCAGATGGAGAAACCTCATCAACAGACACCTGGCCACAACTTTTGAGCACCTGGATGCAGGAGTTCCTGAAGTCATTTACCCTGGCCTTTTTAGATAAATAAACAAATAAACTCCCTTGTGTTTGCACAAGCCTGTTTGAATTGGTTCCATTTCACTTACAGCCAGAAAGTGTCCTGATTAAAAACACTGTAAAAACGTTACTCTCACTCACTTGCTTTCAGATCATCTTCCTTGAAGAGAAAGCAAGCCATGGATGCGCAGTCAGTCACGGGATTACACATAACCCAGAGTCTGTCTTGTCTGTGCTATGATCATAGGCTGGGTATGTCCCTAACAAGGTATTCATGTGCGTGCCATTTGCCTTGTGGATCATGGTGCAGGCAGGGAGACTGAGAACCTCTGGTCTACACTGACCCGGTGACACCTCTCCCAGGAATGAGATGACATTAGGTTCACCAACCCAAATCTGCCTCCTCTCAGCCAGGCCCCAGTCCAGCCAGCCCTTAAGGGTGTGTCTGAAGTACTGGGGTCTATACACACACACACACACACACACACACACACACACACACACACACACACACACACACACACACACACACACACTCCCAAGACCCCTGGGCATTTCTGACAACACCAATCTAGGGGCAGAGCCTGGGGTCCCAACTCAGGCCATCTGGACACCACAGGATCATGCTATTGCTCATTTAATTACCCATTCTTCTTCCAAATGCACATCTCCTCTTTTTGCCACGCATAGGGGGCACAGAATGAATGCCCACCATCCATGGAATGAGAACTCACAGCCTAGCAGAGCAAGTAGCTAGGAAAATAAGCAGCATCATGTGATATGGTAGGTGCCAGAAGAGAAGAACAGACACAGGTCTACATTTTCAGAAGCAGCGCCAGGACTCCTGGCCTCCTAACTAGAGCATCGCTCATGGAGACACGATCAGGGATGTGGAGACTGTGGAGACTGTGGAGACTGAGAGGGACCAAGAGTGGCCAGCAAGGAGAATAGTTACAGACAAGGGCATGGCTAGAAATAGGATGTGGTCAAGGATGGGAATGGGGGTCAATGTGGACGTCATCAGTATTTTGCAGAAATACTCCATTTCTCTACCTTCTGGTCATGTGGTAGGATTGCATTTCCTTTCATATTAGCTGTGGCCTTTTGACTTGCATTAGCCATGATGTGTGGACAGAAGTGACAAATGTCACTTCTGAGCGGGCATCTTGGGATGTTCCAGATGGTGGGGCCTCTGTGCACCAGGGATCCTGAGTAAGGAGGAACCTGTGAAGGACGTAGAGAAAGAAACCTTTGTGGTTATGAGCCCAAGACTGAGATGTGGGGGAGTTGGTTACTGCAGCGTCACACAGAATGCCCTGACTCATACAGTCAGGGAGAACACTGAGGGTGGGGACCGCACGGATCATGGATGAGAAAGGGAAGGACTGGGATCATCCTTCCCAGGTCCTGCCCCTCTTCTTTCCACCCCTCCAAGTCTAGCCCCACAGTGTTGCTGCCTGAGCCACAGCCATAGTCCAGGCCCCTGACACTAAAGCAGACAGACAGAAAAGACACCAGCTCTTTTCATCTCCATTCCAGGAATTTCACTCGATTTCCCTGGTAGGGGCCTGAGGAGAGCTCTCTCATTTTCTTTATTACATTTGGATGATTCCTCATCCCCTCCAAGGAGTTGCATTTATCCTGAACTCTATCAGCTCTACTGAGCACACATAAGCCAGGAGCTGTCAGAAAGAGACTCTGCAGAGAAGAAAGTCAAAGTTAGGTTCCTTGGGTACAGAAGGGGTCTCTGGGAATGGAGCCCCCAGGATGGCATCCCCCAAATCAGCAGGCTGTGCAGGGGATCCAGGCCCCCTGCAGTTAACTCACAGCATTGGTAATTCTGCCTCCTGGGATCCACAGGGACTATTTTTCAGCAAATCTAAGATGCCATCGATTGTACAATACATGTTTATGTACCACTAAGAAAGAAAAAACATTGCCAATTAAATCAGGACATGAGGCTTTATTATCACTTAGAATTTTTATTTTATATGTATTGAAAGGACTTATTTAGACATAGATTTTTATCATATATCACTATTGTGCACATATAAAAAGAAAACAATCAGCAAAATAAATTGGTCAGGTTATACTAAAACATCTTCACATCCAGAGTTTGACTCCTGTGAATCTCTTTTTGATTCAGAGTCATTGATTTTTGGGTTTTCACACAGTATCATCTTCTGGGACATCAAAAGTGTAGGTGATGTAACATTTCTTGAAAGACCATTCCATCCTGTCCCAGAGATTTTATTTCAGCATTCATTCTTCAAGTTTTGATGCTGGCACTTCTTTTTTTTTAATCTTTCCAGAAGGTATCAGGTAATGACAACCATGTCACAGTGCCACCAGGCAACAAAGAATGTGAGATGCCACTGATTATAAGATAAAACCTGATTTCAGAAATGTTAAAAGTGTGGAGGGGGAAATATGTGTCTTTCAATCAGTGGAATCTGCACCTGCCTTCCCTGATTCTGTTTCCAATATAACAGATAAGAGCCACCTTTGGTCAGAAAGGTGTTGGTTCAAATCACACCACTCCACCTCCTATTGTCTGATGTTAATCAAGGTAGGCTGGGGTCTGCTGCAGTAACAAACAATCCCCAAATCTCAGTGGCTTAACACAATAAAAGTCTGTTTGCTGCAAATCTACTCAAGGTCAGGATGACAGGGCAGGACAGCTGTCTTTCATGTGCTGACTGTTAAGAACTTGTGGGTCCCCCACCTCAGCAAGGCCTCTGCACCCCCACCTGGATCAGGGGGTGGGGGCACAGAGAGACTCTGTAATTATGGCAGGACTTCCACCTTCTTGGAAGTGACACCCATCTTTTCCACCTACATTTCCTTGGCTGGTACTAGTCGTGTGACCCCGCCTAACTCCAAGGAGCTGGGAAATGGGTTTTTCCCTGTACTCAGGAAGGAGAAAGAAACAAAGTATTCATGCCGATTCTACAGTCAGCACAGTGGCCCTAGGCAGTTTACTAAACCTCTCTGAGCCTTCCTTTCCGATTCAAAGGAGGGTTATGAAGGTGCCTGTTTCTTTGGGCTGCTGGGAAGGATGACACATAGGACACACTCTGCACTGTGCCTGGCACACGGCAAGTGCTCAGTGAATTTGGCTGTGATGCATCACAGCCTCCCAAAATCATACCGGACACCCCTCCCCTCTGGAAATGACTATTCTTGCCCCCTCATACTTCTCTCGGGGGAGGAGTCTAACACCCCCTTCTCCTTCTCATGACCTTCAGGCCCCTCTCCATTCAGGTCTCTCCCCAGAAGAGACCCTCATAAGAACTAATCAATCCTCCTCCATGTCTCTGCTACCTGACAGCCCTGAGTCCTGATCCCAACACCTCCAAACACTTGCTGTGTGACCTCTGCCAAGGGCACAGCCCTCTCTGGGCCTTGGCTTCTTCATCCATAAAATAGCCACAGCCGAGTTCCCCACCTTGAATGTACCATAAGCCAGGAGGTAACACCAGTGAGGGACCTGGACCAGAAAGAGTCTGAGAATGTGGGGGGCACACACCCTAGGAGGATCACTTCTCACTCCAGCCCTCTGGTACCAGGCATGGGGTTGGGGAGGGGAGAGGGGAAGGGGAGGATATTGCCAGAGCTCTCTGTTTTTCAAGAAAAGGTAAAAAATCGCATTTTTGTGTGAAATCTGCCAGCTTTTTAACATTGACAACTACTTAGAGAAAAAATTAATTCTATGCCTCCCAAACAAAACTCGTCCATGGAGGCGGTTTGGCAAATTCACAAGCTCTAACTCTACCTTGGGTCTGTGAGAAGCTAGAGGTAGGATATTTTCCCTTTTAATAAATGTTCCTGGGCCCAAAGACCATGCTATTTGCCGTCTCAGGAGAGGAGATGCTACACCCTGGAAGCAGTCTCTCCCGGAGGGCCCCTGGACAGCTGGAGTGGCTGATCCTGGCGGGGAGCAGTGGGGGGAGCTGGACTTGGTGGTGAGCTTGTCAGCTAGTTTGATCAAAAACGACTCAACATCAGCGAATAAACCTCTATCAGGGTCAGCATCAGGCCCGGCTTGGGACACACACAGGAATCAGGTCCAAGCCTTGCCCTAGGGAAGCTCTCCCACACCAGACAAACAGAAATCAGGCCACTCAACAGCTGACGCGGGGTGCAGGGGAGCAGATGGCTCCTGCCCAGGGGGTGTGGCCAGGAAATGCTGCCTAGAAAAGGGCATCAGCCCAGGTGCTGAGGTATTGTCCAGGCACCTGTGAAACACCCCCAAGCAGGCAGGGCTGTGCAAGCAAAGCCTGGAGTTGTGAGTGTGCGCGGTTCCTTGAGGGAAGGATGAGCAAGCACTGCAGGGAGGTGGGGGTGCTCCGGGGGGGGGGGGCGCTTGGGGGAGCTAAGTCCCCAGACCCGGGTCCTAAGGTTTGTCTGGCACAGAGTCGGCGCTAGTTGGCATCCGTCTTCTTGGGGGCAGTCCTCCCTCCTGTTGCCCGTTAGACTCACCCACAGAGCTTTCAGAAATTACCAGTGCGCACTGCACGCACACTCCATGCCAAGTCTTGTGCAAGATTCCCCATGGGTCATACTCCATCTTCACAGCAGCCTCTGAGGCTGATCGGTGTCCTCATTGCCCAGATGCCAAGGGGCGAGGCAGAAAGTTCAAAACTTGCCCAAAGACAGTTGGCTGTGGGAGGACTTTAAAGTTAGTTCGCTCAAGAATCCGGAAGGAAGGGGGAGAGGGAGGGCTTTGGAGACAATGATGGATGCCTGGCTGTGGGGAATGGACAGCTGATGGACGGGTGCACAGAATGGATGGGCGGTGGGCGAGCGGCTGGGAAGAAAAAGAGGGAAGAGGAAGGAAAGGAGGAAGGAAGGGGGGAAGGTAGAAGAGAAGGCAGGGGAGGAAGAAAGGGAGTGCGCGGCGGGTGACAGAATAGGAGGACAGGGCGGGAGGATTCAGGAACTACTCGAGAGATGGAAGGGGACGAAGCAGGTTTGAGCCGCCGCCTCGGGCGAGCTCGGGTCCCAGGGCGCCGGCACCAGGCGAGCGCAGGGTCAGCGGAGGCGGGTTTCAGGCCGAAGCCTCCCGGCCCCCCGACGCCGTACCGCGCCCGGGGAGCCGCCCTGGCACCCGCTCTCGCAGCCCGCAGCCGGGGGGTGGGGGCCGGGCGGGGGAGTGGTCCGCCTACGACGCTGAACTGGCTGCCGCTTCCGCGGGGCCTTGCTGTCCCCTAGCGGCGGCGTGCGGCACTGCAGCGCAGGACGCGGCGGGACCGGCGCGAGCCCCGCACCCTCCTCCTCCCCCTCCCGGGGCCGCGAGCGCGCCCCCGCCCAGTCCCCGCCGCTGTGTGTTCCTTAGCAACCGGCGCGAAAGCCACGTCCCTCGCGCCGCGGCCGCGCGCCCGCTGTAAACTTTAGCATCTCGTCTGGCATCCGCTGGAGGGAGAGAAGCGTTTCTCGTGACTTTTTCCTGAAAAGGTTTTTCTCTTCTCTTCACCGTGAAAAAGGATAACGAGTTGGGGATGGGAAAAGGAAATGGTTTAAGTTAATTTAAACTGTCTGCCGCAGGCAACAATCCAGGAAAGCATTTTCCGTTTTGGAAAGTCACGTTTGAAGCTTGAGGGAAGCTCTTTGCTGCAGCCCAGCGGCCACTGCTAGACCTTGGAAGGTCGAGGTGGCGCCGCTCAGAGAGGGTCCTATCAAGAAGCAGGACCCAGGCCTGGCCCTGGAGAGGTCACTGGACTTGGCCCGCGTGGCTAATATTGACTGAGGGCTTCTTTCTCTTCGCCAGGCCCGTTTCATATGTGAGTCCATTTCATCTGCCGGAAGCCATGAGGTCTGTAATATCCATCCCCGCTTTCCGGCTAGGAAACTGAGGCCCGGAGGAGTTAGGGACTCAGAGCCAGGCAGTGGCAACGCCCGGGTTTTGAGTCAGGAAGGCCCATTCAGAGCTCACAGACTAAAAGGCCCTGCCAGACTGTGAAGGTGCATGCTCTGAGCATTCCTATCCTACAAATAAAGACACAGGCCTCCAGAGGATCTTTCAAGGCCCCTTATCTACAGTCTGCTGCCCAGACCCTGCATCCCACCCTCACACCTGAAATTCTCCCTTCAACTCCAGGAACTGACTTCAAATGTTTACAGAGCTACTGGGGTGGCAGTCTCCAAACTGGCCAAAAGCTGTAGTGCCTGCCAGCATCCTTGATGACACAGGCTATGTGCAGGAGGTTGGGGTGCTCAGGGGCTGAACCCCCACAATCACCCCACCTGTTTCCTCCCTCCCTCCCTCCTCTGTGTGCAGAGGCTCAGCACTGACACATGGGGCTTCATTTCAGCCAACAACTCATTCAGAAATTCAAACAGCATTTACTGAGTGTCTACTGAGAGGCACTGTGCCGGACAGTAAGAGGACAGCGGTAGACAGGATACTTAGTGGTGAAGACAGGCAACAAACAAGTCAACCAACGAATGCACAGATGATTTGGGATACTAATCAGTGCTGAGAAGTAAATGAAACAACATGATTCAGTAAAAAGGGTTCAGGCAGGTCCACTGTTACCATTGCTCTCACCCAAACCCACCTTTACAACTGCACCAGCTGCATTCTGATTTGCGTGCCTGCCTCTACACCTTCTCCCCCACCAGGTGTGACAGCTCAAAGGCAGAACCTGCCCTCCCATCCCTGTGTTCCTGCCCCCACACTGAGCAGCATCTCAGGGAAGGAAACAGAGCTGACCTGGTACTTGCTCAGCAAGGGAGCCCAGAGACGGCTGAGTAGCCTCCCCCAGGGTACTGGAGCTTGATGTTGGTTTGGAGAAAGGACATCACAGTGATGGTCAAGGTGCTCAGAGCCCTTGTTCTGCTCTGTCATTTGTGTGCCTCATCTCCATCAATCCTTGCAACAGCCTTTTAGAGAGATACCCCATTTTACAGATGTGGAAACCAAGGTGTCTTGCCTGAGGGTTTCATCCCCAGGCAAGTTCACTATGGATTCAGTGAGACCAAGGAATGACAATGGAATGTTCTTGGGGTGAGAGGGTTTATACCCAGCTTTATTTACCTGCAATAGGTTGAGCGCTAGAATCATGTCTGCATCCAACAGTCTGCAGGCCTGTAATCCACCTCTGTCTCTGCATCCACCCAGAGCACTGGGCAGAGCTTCTTATATAGTGACTCAGTCAATAATAGCTCATTGCCTATGGGTGTGAAAGCAGTAGCTTAGCAGTAGGCCAGTTACATCATCAACTGGTTTAGGGTCAGGTGAGGATCCTGGCCATAGGAACTTCCATTTTCCCCACACAAGGTCACACCTCTATTGGAGGAAAGCCAAGATCTAAAGGAAGACAGCCTGGTTTTAGCACCATGCTTCCAACCCCTGCACTGTACAGCCTGCCATCCCACAGGCCTTACACTCAATGGGCGATGCACTACAGAAGACAGAGGGGATGGTGTGTTACCTTGAGCAAGTCACTTCCCCTCTCTGAGCCTTCATTTCTGCAGGTCTGCAAAACAGTGGTGAAACAGGGTGCCCACCTTGGCTGGGTTGTTCATTTGGGGGATTAAATGAGGTAATACAAGTAACCCACCCAGCAGATGCCAGAATTCAGGCACAGGTTTTTGAATTAAAGAATGAAGGAAGGAAGGAGAGAAGGAAGGAGCCTTATAAATGTTAGTTTCCTTCCTTGTTCCCCAACTCTGTAGTAATAAAAAAAAACACCTAAATAACCTCTGCCAGGGCTGCTGCTCTGCCCAAATTCCTGCATGCCACAGCCATCGCTGTATTCCCCTCAGGAAGCCCCAACAATGTGCACGCATTGCTGGTGTGCTTACAGCCTGTCTCTAGAGCAGATCTCAGGGGCAACACAATCTCCAGTTTGTGCCAAAGTGTAAGGTGAGAGACCCCATCTGAGTGCTGCATAGGGGGTTCTTGAATCAAACACCAGGGTTCAAATCCCCATCTGCACCTACTTGCTGGGTGACTGGTTCTTAACCTCTCTTAATGTCTGAATTCTTCACTTGCTAAGAAGACAACTGCACATAGTGGTGTCCTAAGGATGTCCAAATCACTTTCCTCTGTAAAGAGGACAAATGCAGAGGGCAAAGGTTCCACACGCACTGAGCTGTGTACTTCTGAGACCAGGTAGTCCATTATTCTCTCCCCCACGATCCTTTCTCATGTGGCCTTCCCCCTCCCCACTTTCAATCCACCAGCAATTCCTGTCAGTTCCACCTCAAAATATAACTCCAAGCCCACGCTCTTCTCCCCATCCCCCACTGCTCCCTTCTTCAGATGGGTTTGGCCACTAGCAGGTGCCAGGCGGTCAGGGGGTGGGAGGGGAGAGAGGTGGGGACATTCTCCCCAGTGTCCTCTCTGCTTGCCCTGGGCTGGCACTGCCAGGTCCCTCTGAGGAAAGCTGAAGGGGTTCTTCTACAGCCACAGCTCTTTCTGGATTCTAACTGCCCCTCCCTGGCCCCATCAGAATAAGGGGTGGCAGCCAGGACCCCACTGCCCATGATCCCAAGATGCTTCATTTCTCTCAACCCCACCCACACCTCCATAAATAGTCCCTTCATTAAATTCTCACCAGTCATCCCCCTGAGTGAGCCAACTGTCTCCTGCCTGGAGGGCAACTGGTGCTAAGACCCTCCTAATCTAGCCCCTGCCTCCAACACACGAAGCTTGTGGCTTCCTCGGGGCCACTGCACTTGCTCTTCCATCCAGCCTGAGACACTGTTCCCAGCTTTTTCCACAGCTGGTCTCAGTCCAGATGTCACTCTTCAGGGAGGCTTTCCCTTAACCACCTGCCACACATGCTCTAAACTGTTTTTCACTCCAACCACTCTGGACACCAGCATAGTGGCAGTTCCATTATTGGTCATTGGTGATTAAGTCACTCTCCTGAGGTTTGCCTGGGGATGGGGGTGGTGGGGAAAAGGAGGCCTAAAAGTCCTAACCCTGCAATCATGATCCCCATCCTGACGTGTGGGGTTTCTTCCACATCAGTGACTGAGTCTCTAGCTCTCCACACACCACCCAGGTGTCCTACAATTCAATTCAGTTCTGACACTAACCACCCGGGTTTAGCACAGACCCTGCAGGTTCAGGGGCCAGTCCAACAAGACCACCCCACTTCAGATGCCAGTCCCAAGTTCCAGGCCTCTTGTACTTCTGAGAGATGGGCTATAAATAAGGGGTTCCCACCAGCCCCTCCTCAGGTTTGACATTTGCTAGAATGACTCATGGAACTCAGGAAAACAGTTCAATTACTTTTACTGTAAAGGATACAACTCAGGAGCAGCCAAATGAAACAGATGCATAGGGCTGTGTGTTTGTGGGAAAGGGGTACATGGAGCTCCCTGGCCTCTCCAGGCACCCCGTCCCAGCACCTTGACATGTTCACCAACCTGGAAGCTCTCCAAACCCTGTGGTTTAAGGTTTTTATGGCAGTTCCATCATTAGTCATTGGTGATTAAGTCACTCTCCCAAGGTTTACCTGAGAATGGGAGTGGCGGGGAAAAGGAGGCCTAAAAGTGCTAACCCTGCAATCATGGTCCCCATCCTGAGGCTGGCTAGGAACCCAGCTCCAATCATTCATTAGCATAAAAAAGACACCCATCACTCTACATATCCCAAGGGTCTTAGAGGCTCCGGCACCACTGTTGTAACAAAAGGGGCTCCTATCACCCGCAACACCCAGTAAATTAAAAAAGTTTTAAGAGCTCTTAAGACCAAATATGTATATATATTTATATATTATATATTTATATATATTATATGTTTATAAGTATATTTCTTATTAATATCACAGTATCACAACCATTTTTTTCACTGACTTTGTACCTGTCCAAAATCAGTCCCTTCATTTATTTGTTGGTCTGAGTTTCTGTCTGTCCCCACCTGTAAAAATGTGAGTTTCACAAGGGCAGTCTTTTTGTTCACTGCTGCAGCTCCAGTGCCTCATTCCATGCCTGGAACACAGGAGGGACTCAGTAAATATTAATAGAATTAACACAAGGGCTCTGTGTTCACTTAGAAGGATAGACTGAGGACACGTGCTCTGGAGCCTTGAAGGCAGAGTATCTTTCCCAGCATGGCTT